TCTATTCTTGAATACATATTGTGATCTTATGAGAGAAGTATATCAAGCTCATCTTGAGTAACTTCTCTTGCAGTCGAATAATCATTGCCTTATGGTTATATAAACATGCCTATCACTTGTGCTATTTTAGCAACAAAATTGTGGTTGGTCGAACGTAAACAATCTCTGGAAGCTATTATTCAACGTTTGATCAACTCAGGTGTTGTATAAGAGCTCCCAATGGTTTGTTTTGATGCGTTTATTTCACGTTCTATATAGCTCTTGTCAATCAGTTTAACTAAGGTGCTATAAAAGTTATCGTAGGTCTTATAAAGCATACAGGTAAACCGAACGTAAACAATCATTTAAGAGTGCTCCAAGCAGCTTTTGAAGCTTTTAACCAAATGGCAATACAACTACATTCTTGTACAACTCTGGAAGCTATTGTTCAACGTTTGATCAACTCAGGTGTTGTATAAGAGCTCCCAATTGTTTGTTTTGATGCGTTTATTCCACATCCTATATGGCTCCTGTCAAACAGTTTAACCGAACGTAAACAATCATTTAAGAGTGCTCCAAGCAGTTTTTGAAGCTTTTAATCAAATGGCAATACAACTACATTCTTGTACAGCTCTGGAAGCTATTATTCAACGTTTGATCAACTCAGGTGTTGTATAAGAGCTCCCAATGGTTTGTTTTGATGCGTTTATTTCACGGTCTATATGGTTCCTGTCAAACAGTTTAACCGAACGTAAACAATCATTTAAGAGTGCTCCAAGCAGTTTTTGAAGCTTTTAATCAAATGGCAATACAACTACATTCTTGTACAACTCTGGAAGCTATTATTCAACGTTTGATCAACTCAGGTGTTGTATAAGAGTTCCCAATGGTTTGTTTTGATGCGTTTATTTCACGGTCTATATGGTTCCTGTCAAACAGTTTAACCGAACGTAAACAATCATTTAAGAGTGCTCCAAGCAGTTTTTGAAGCTTTTAACCAAATGGCAATACAACTACATTCTTGTACAACTCTGGAAGCTATTATTCAACGTTTGATCAACTCAGGTGTTGTATAAGAGCTCCCAATGGTTTGTTTTGATGCGTTTATTTCACGGTCTATATGGTTCCTGTCAAACAGTTTAACCGAACGTAAACAATCATTTAAGAGTGCTCCAAGCAGTTTTTGAAGCTTTTAACCAAATGGCAATACAACTACATTCTTGTACAACTCTGGAAGCTATTATTCAACGTTTGATCAACTCAGGTGTTGTATAAGAGCTCCCAATGGTTTGTTTTGATGCGTTTATTTCACGGTCTATATGGTTCCTGTCAAACAGTTTAACCGAACGTAAACAATCATTTAAGAGTGCTCCAAGCAGTTTTTGAAGCTTTTAATCAAATGGCAATACAACTACATTCTTGTACAACTCTGGAAGCTATTATTCAACGTTTGATCAACTCAGGTGTTGTATAAAAGCTCCCAATGGTTTGTTTTGATGCGTTTATTTCACGGTCTATATGGTTCCTGTCAAACAGTTTAACCGAACGTAAACAATCATTTAAGAGTGCTCCAAGCAGTTTTTGAAGCTTTTAATCAAATGGCAATACAACTACATTCTTGTACAACTCTGGAAGCTATTATTCAACGTTTGATCAACTCAGGTGTTGTATAAGAGCTCCCAATGGTTTGTTTTGATGCGTTTATTTCACGGTCTATATGGTTCCTGTCAAACAGTTTAACCGAACGTAAACAATCATTTAAGAGTGCTCCAAGCAGTTTTTGAAGCTTTTAATCAAATGGCAATACAACTACATTCTTGTACAACTCTGGAAGCTATTATTCAACGTTTGATCAACTCAGGTGTTGTATAAGAGCTCCCAATGGTTTGTTTTGATGCGTTTATTTCACGGTCTATATGGTTCCTGTCAAACAGTTTAACCGAACGTAAACAATCATTTAAGAGTGCTCCAAGTAGTTTTTGAAGCTTTTAACCAAATGGCAATGCAACTACATTCTTGTACAACTCTGGAAGCTATTATTCAACGTTTGATCAACTCAGGTGTTGTATAAGAGCTCCCAATTGTTTGTTTTGATGCGTTTATTCCACGTTCTGTATAGCTCTTGTGAATCAGTTTAACTAAGGTGCTATAAAAGTTATCGTAGGTCTTATAAAGCATATAGTTAAACCGAACGTAAACAATCATTTAAGAGTGCTCCAACAGCTTTTAAAACTTTTAATCAAATGGCAATACAACTACATTCTTGTTCAACTCTGGAAGCTATTATTCAACGTTTGATCAACGCAGGTGTTTTATAAGAGCTCTCAATTGTTTGTTGGGTTGTCTACTTGGGCTATGAAGCTGGGTATCGAATTCTCTCCAGTGAAAACTGAGTTGGTTGTTTTTTCTAGGAAGCATCATCCTGCATAGTTACAGCTTCAACTAAAGGGTAGAACAATCACTCAAAGTATGTCTTTCAAGTATTTAGGTGTCTGGTTCGATTCCAAAAGCACGTGGGGAAAACATATTGCGTATGTGAAACAAAAATGCCAACAAAGAATCAATTTTCTTCGTACAATTACCGGAACTTGGTGGGGAGCACACCCGGAAGATCTGATCAGGTTGTATCGAACAACAATCTTGTCGGTTCTAGAGTACGGTAGCTTCTGTTTTCAATCCGTGGCGAAAACACATGTCTTGAAGCTGCAACGAGTTCAATACCGTTGCCTCCAAATCGCGCTTGGCTGTATGCACTTGACGCATACGATGAGCCTCGAAGTACTCGCGGGTGTTCTCCCACTGACAGATCGTTTCGCGGAACTGTCCTTCCGGTTTCTTATCCGTTGTGAAGTAATGAACCCATTGGTAATAGAAAACTTTGAGAAGCTGCTCGACAGAAATCCTCAAACAAGATTCATGAGTGTCTTTTACGAGTACATGACGCTGGAGATTGGCCCTTCTTCATTCAATTCCTCTCGTGTTTGCCTCCAAGACTTTTATAGTTCCTCTGTAAATTTTGTTCTGACCATGTTGCAAGAAATCCGTGGAATAGCAGATCACCATCGGTCGATGGTTGTTCCCTTAATTTTTGCAAACAAGTACCACCTTGTTAGTAACAATAAGAGTTTTTTCACAGATGGGTCAACTATAAACGCTTCCACTAGATTTGGAGTATTCAACGAATTTCATAGCGCCTCATATCAACTGCAAAAACCCTGTTCCGTATACGTTGCGGAACTAGCAGCCATATTATACGCAGTAGAGCAAATTGCCTCACTACCATCTGATCACTATTTTATTTCTACAGATAGCCTTAGCTCGTTGGAGGCTATTCGATCAATGAGGCCGATGAAGCACTCCTCGTATTTCCTGACTGAAATCCGAGCTAAATTGAGTAGTTTATCTAACTGCTTCTATACTATCACCTTAGTTTGGGTCCCATCTCATTGCTCAAATCCTAGTAATGAGAAAGCGGACTCGCTAGCTAAGGTGGGCGCTATGGAAGGCGATATTTTTGATCGACAAATCGCCTTTGTGGAATTTTTTTTAATTATTCGTCAGCACGTCCTCACCAACTGGCAACAAAAATGGAATGAGAGTGATCTGGGAAGATGGTTACATTCTATTCTCCCACAGGTATCGAACAAGCCATGGTTCAAAGGATTGGACATGAGCCGTGACTTTATACGTGTCATATCAAGGCTCATGTCCAATCACTACTCGTTAGACTCGCATTTCTTCCGAATCGGGCTCGCAGGCAGCAATTTGTGCGCTTGTGGTAGTGGCTATCACGATATCGACCACGTGCTTTGGTCAAGCACTTTACACTGTGTTGCTAGATCCGAGTTATCCGCATCCCTCAGGGCCCGAGGAAAACAACCTATGCGGCCCGTTAAAGACATCTTGGCGAGCCGAGATCTCGAATATTTTAATTTAATTTATGTGTTTTTAAAACGGATTGATCTGAGGATTTAGTAGTTAGTGTCATCTTGTGTTCCCCCAAGTTTTTAGCTGCCCTTCGGTGTACCTCCATGTTTGTCTTTTTCATCAGTTGGTCGCTTAATTCGAGATAAAAAGCACATTGCTCTCCAAACCTTGTGTTCTCAATCCCTACCCTGCCATCCATTTGTTACAATTTGTTACCCCTATCCTCGAGATAGCCGCGAGTAATCGGCCCCCGCTTTACCAACGCTAGTTTTAAGAAATTTTGTAATCTAAACAATGAATATCGGCTCCGCAAAGCTACGGCAAGTGAGCCTGGAAAAATAAACGCATTATAAAAAAAAACTCCATATAAAAAGCGAAATGTTCAATTTCACCTCAGAAGTGCATTTTATTGCATTCTCACCAGCATCCACAGCCTCTGATTTTCCTAATGAACCCGCTGAGCTACGTTTGTATTCAAATACGTGTCTAGTGTTCGCGCATTCATCGATCATTTTTCACCGAACAACTGATACTTTTTATTCAGCTGCCTCCTTTGCGATATGGGTTAACGCTGACAGTTTTAATCGAAAATTTGTAAACATTTTCATCGTAATTAGTTCAATTACAACCTGCCACTCACTGTGCAACGCACTTCTGTAGCGCACATTGACGTCGCCAAAAATGCAACCGATCGAGATCCGTTGTATCTTTGGCCATGCAGTCCTGCGCAGTTCGCATCTCGGCAGGATGAACCAAAACAATCTGCTACAATGTTTCGGCGCATGCGCATCGGGTTTTCCACCCCCGAATCCAAGCATCTGAGTGACGGCATTCGAAATTCGAGATTAAATTCCGGTTCAGCCATATCCAATCCTTTTTCCGACCGATCAGTAGTATTTTTGCCTTGCTATCAAACGGTGTGAGAAAAACAGTTGCCCTTGAGGAAGAGAGGAAAGTTCAGAGCGGAGCTTCGAAGGGCACCTTTAGCGATTTTTTTTTTTAAATTGTTGCTATGAAGTGCTTAATTCCTCGATCCAGCAGTTTTCTGATTGTTTAAGCGTGGAAACGTGCGCGATTTTTGGTTAAATATGAACTACCAACGAGTGGGTGCAATGGAAAACGGTTACAAGAAGGAAGAGTTTTGCAGTTCGGAGAAAAGCAGCAAGAGCATTGCGAATGGACTAAATGTATGCGTTTGAGTGAAACTCGTCTGAATCAAGTTGTTTTCATCATTGCAAACAAAACAAAACTTATCGCGAAGAAATTGGCACCATCAAATCAATAAGGCAATCATGCGAGATCTGCGGACAATGGTTTGTTCAAAGTTTATATTTTCGAAGAGCAAAATGCGATTGACTGCATCATAGTGTGGCACACGCGCTAAATGCATACAGTTTTTCCGGATGGCCAACTGTTCTTTCTAGCTCGGCTGGGTGTTTGCCAAATATGCCGTCTCAATTAATATTTTACTGGTTAGGATTTTGGAATGATCGCTGGTTAGGACAGTCGGGGAATTACGACTTTCGTTGCCTGTAGGATAGAGAGTAAGGTGGTTCAAAATATCGATTTTGCTCCACCAAGCTCAATCATATTCAAATCAGGTCCTGATAAATCTTCCAAAATTTGAGTTCATTTGGATGTGAACTTCGAACTTAAACTTGAAGTCTTATAAAAAAGTAGTCCAAGTTGTAGCTAATACAAAATTCCCTGCAGAACAGATAGCAAACTTGTCCGTAGATTACTACAGCGATGGGCTAGAACGTTGAGAACAATTCTCATACAAATTTCAATGGGCCAGTGCAGTATGAGTTCGCATCGAAATGAATTAAACCTGATTTTGAATCGATTGAGCTTAGTGGAGCAAAATCGATATATTGAACCACCCTAATAGAGAAGATGTAGTGATCTGCTGAACGACTGTTGCAACCGTGCAATGAATGATTATTTTCGGATCGAACAGAAGGGCGAGAAGGGCTTTCGAAATGTTTGGGAATCCATCCCAACCGATGGGGGTGGTATCATTTGCAATGACGTTGATCCTATATTGTGTGGATCGAGAGTGATAGGTATGGCGTCTTAGCACTCAGGTAGATAACATTGTCGAGCATTTACAGTCGTGGAATTTTGATCATATGCCAACTAGTACTCACGGGAAACCCAGATATTATGCAAATTGTTCACGAAATCCCACGGGATTCTGCAGCGCAGTCCTAATTTACTCAATGAACTTGAAGGAGGAAGTGAGTTAGAATTAATTAATTATCAATAAACGTGATGTTTTCTACTATGCAAATGATTCCAACTAACCACTTTGAAGGAAGCTGGCAGATAACGACACTTCATTTTGCAATCAACGATGCCGCTTTTGAATTTTAATAACTACTTGGCTAAACAACTGATGTTTGCGTTCGATTAGTAGACGTCATCGAGATGGTCTTTGACTACATGAGCACCACAACTGCAATTCTCAGAACAGTCCCATAAATCCCATGGTGAATTAAATAAGCAAAGGAGTTCAGTGTTACCTTTGACAGATAATAATGAAACACAAATAGTCAAATTGGAATGGATCCATTTTGTTCCACTGCAGTGCATAATTGATGCATATATCATTCTGTGCATTTTCATCCGACTGCACAGCAAAACATTAATTTTGATATCACATCAAAGTGGATGTACTTCAATCGTGTCGAAAAAATTGTGTAATATTACTTGCCAAAAAGGACAAAATTATCATTAATACAGTGCACGAACTGACATTACGCTGCATTTGTTTATTTTGGTGGCCACCTCACTTTACCTCAGCTAATTGGCGCTTCCAGTTCGCTGATCGTCTCTCAAATGTGTGAGCCATTTAGCTCTCAGCGTCGCGTTCTACTCGGTTAACCCCAGTGGTGTATTCAGCCTACTCTGACGGAGAGTTCTCTTGGCTTCGACTTTCACTTCGCACTTGTGTGAGCACATTACTACTTTCTAGCTGGTCCTCTCGCCATTTTTGCTGCAGCGCTGACATGATCTGCGTTATTGCTCTGCTGACGGCGTTAAAGGTGCCCTCCTCTCGACACGTTTCTTCGACGATATACTCCGTGCTAAGGGCGAGCACAGCATCAAATCTAGGACATTCGAAGACCACGTGCTCTGGTGATTCTTCCACATTCCCACACTCCGGACAGAAGGGTGACGTTGTGTGTCCGAACCAATGCAGGTACTTCCTGAAGCAGCCATGACCAGACAGGAACTGCGTCAAGTGGAAGTTGACTTCTCCATGCTTCCTGTTCACCCAGGTCGAAAGAATCGGTATTAGCCTGTGTGTCCATCTACCGTTCTCTGCTGCATCCCACTGCTGCTGCCACTTAGCCATCGACACCGTTCTCACCATTTTTCGTACTCCTCTGGTTTCTCTCGTCATATAGCACTCGTAGTCCTCCGCCAAGGTGATGCCGAATGGGATCATACCGAAATGGTTCTGTACGCACTCACGACTCGCATGGCCATGAGCCGGAACGTACTGCTCAATTTCCTTTGGTTCTGCTTCGTTTTCAGCGCTTCAATCCAGGCTAGACATCTGTACCTTAGTGTCGATGAGGACACACTATCCAGAAGACGCCTCTTGCTGCTGCTTGGACCAGAATTGTTCGGCATGATTCTGGCTATTGCGTTGATAACCTTCGCCGCCTTCTCGCAAGCATATTCGATGTGGCTGTTAAAGCTTAGCCGGTCGTCGATCATCACTCCTAGATACTTCAGCACGCGCTTCGAAACAATGGTGTGCTCTCCAACGGTGATTTCTGCCCGCTGCACTGCTTTGCAGTTACTGACCAACATCACTTCTGTTTTGTGGTGGGCTATCTGCAGCTTTGCTCCTTGCATCCAGTTACCAATCGTGTCTATCGCCTCGGCTGCCAGCATTTCCACTTCTTCCAGCGTCTCACCGGTTACCGTCAAGACGACATCGTCCGCAAAGCCAACGATCTCAACTCCTTTGGGCAGCTTGAGCATCAGCACGCCATTGTACATCCGTTCCACAGCGTGAGACCTAGAATGGAGCCTTGTGGAACTCCCGACGTGATTCTAAGCGATTTCTGCCCCATGTCTGTGTCGTAGACCAGGACCCGGCTCTGGAAGTAACTACTTAGAATCCTGCAAAGGTAGTTTGGAATCCTCATTCTATGGAGCGCCTTGGCGATGGCCTCTCAGCTGGCGCTATTGAATGCATTCTTCACATCAATCGTAATCACGGCGCAGTATCGATTTCTTCTCCGCTTCTGTTTGGAAGCTTTCTCGGCTCTGTCAATCACTGTCCGAATTGCATTCACCATCGATCTCCCTTACGGAATCCAAACTGCCTCTCCGACAATCCGTGTTCACTTCCCCTGCATTTCGTCAGCCTGTTCAGGATGATCCTCTCCAAGAGCTTTCCGACTGTATCCAGCAAACATATTGGCCTATACGATGCAGGATCCCCCGGCGGTTTTCCGGGCTTCGGCAACAGGACAAGCTTTTGTACCTTCCACTTATCAGGGAACTGACCCTCGTCCAGACATTTCTGCAGCAACATCCTGAACATGTCCGGGAACGTCTGGATCGCCGCCTTCAACGCCACGTTGGGAATTCCATCCGGGCCGGGAGCTTTATTCGCCTTCAACCCTTTCGCTGCTGCTATGAGTTCCTCGTTGGAGACTTTTTTTTTTATATAATTACTTTATTTGAACAGGCTCAATCGAATAAACTTTACAGAGCCGAGTTATCCTTTGCGTTATACATTATTACTGTCTTAAATTTAAAGTTAAAGGAACTGGACCGAGTACTCGCGGTTGTCTCGAGGTTAGTGGAGATTTACAATTTTTTGGATGGGAAAAGGGAAGGAGGAGGTTTGAAATGTGGTTTACGATAACACGTTGGAGACTTGTTCAATGTTGTCTTCATCTTCCTCACCATATGGTGTAGGTGGCCAGGTCGTTGGGTCATGTTGTGGGAAAAGTCCCTCCACGATGACTTTCAGCTTGTTGGGACACATTTCAACCGGCATCGTTGGACCTCTGATTTTCGCCATCGCGGCTTGGTATGCGTTGCCCCAGGGGTTGGCATCGGCATCGCGGCACAGCTCCTTGAAACTATTTGACTTGCTCAGATTTATCTTTCGTTTCAGTGCAGCCCTGGCCTCTCGGAACACCACCCTGCGCTTCTCTCTGTCTGCTTCCGTTCTTGCTCTCTGAGCGCGCCTTATGGCTAGAAGACAAGTAGCACGGAGGGTGCTAATTTCCCCGTTCCACCAGTAAGCTGGACGCCGCCTGTTTGTTAGCTCCAGTTTTCTCGGCATAGTTGTGTCACATGCCCTTGCTAATGATTCGGTCAATTCGTTCGGGCTTAGACCCGGGACGCTGCTGTCTACCCTTAGAGCTACGATGAAGAGATCCTTATTGAATGCCTTCGTCTTCCACTTCCACTCACTTACTTTCGTCCTTCGCATTTCCACCGGTGTCCGTTCGCCAATACTGTACCGGATCGCCTATGGGTGTACTCTTCGCACACTCTCCAGTCCATATTTGCCACTAGCGACGTATTGCAGAAAGTGACGTCGATAATGGATTTCCTACCATCTGTACGGAAGGTGCTGATGGTTCCCAAGTTGGCCAGACTGACATTCAACTTTGCCAGAGCTTCCAGTAGGCTATGCTCTCTTGCGTTGGTACACCTGCTCAATTGTCCATCTCGGGAGTGCGCAGCAACTACATACATAGATTCCATTGATTTTGGCGATCACGAAACCTTCGTATGAGCCCGCCACCACTTGTTGAATGGGATACCTGCCCATGACTTGTATGGCCGCCATTCTTATACTCTATCCGCCACCCAGTTACCATTATCGAGAGGGACTCTTCTTCTTTAGTGGGAATGACACTGATGAAGACTGCACATTGTAGTCGAAATACGTATCTGTCATGGATACCAAAATTAATTAAGTGGAATTAAATGGAAGATAAACCCTTTTGCTGTTTTATGAGAGGGACTCGATATGGCTCTGCAATGATAGCAACGTCGCACTTTGTTTCCATTGTCGACTGCCACAACAGTTGCTGTGCTGTGTTGCAACGATTGAGATTTATTTGGGTTACCTCCATTCGTGCTGGCCCACCTTCGCCTTCTTGAACTCTGAGCACCTGAAACTTTCCGTCACATGGCCGTTTCCGTCCTCCTTTTTGCAGAGCATGCACCTCGGTTGCTTTGTACAGTCTTTTGCAACGTGCCCCTTCTCTCCGCATTTCCTGCATAGATCAGATCTGTCAGGGCCTTTGCAGTTTCTCGCCTGGTA